CCTTCATGAGGACAGGGACATCTACAATGAGATGTGGCAAATCCCAGAGGTCCCCATGCCTAAGGGGAGGCAAGTGGCAGCAAGCGTCAGCACCAAGAGTGAAGCGGTTGGTGGCGGTGATCACGGAAAACAAAGTGACACCAAGAGTGACTGGAAGGAGTGCAACCTTGGAGAGACCAGCAAGGCGTGTGAACCCAAGGAGAGTGGTGCAGCAGTCAAGGGTGGTGGAAATGAGGAGGAAAAGCCTAAGATCAGCAAAGCAGCAGCAGCGAAGGAGAAAGGAGAGAGATTGTGGGGCACAATTGAGAGTGCCGCTTTCTCCAACCCGACTTCCGCTACGGGAGAGTGTGATTAGCTGACCTTGCATCGGCGAATGGGGCATGTGGCATTGCCCATTTTGTAGCAGATAGTTAAGCAAGAGATGGTCAGTGGGATACGTGTCAAGGGGGAGCCCAATGAGGTGCTTGGCTGTCCAACATGCATGCAAGCCAAGTTCACCCGCTACCCGTTCCATAGCTCGGAGACAAGGACGAAGGCACCACTCGATGAGGTGGTGATGGATGTGGTGGGCCCCTTGAAGCTTGGAGCTGCTGGAGCAGAGTACTTCCTCACCATTGTCGATGTCTACACTCGCATGACTTGGGTGTATGTGCTGCTGAAGAAGAGTGACGTAGCTGAAACGGTGAAGACCGATTGGTTGCCGATGGTGGAGCGGCAACAAGACCGGCTTGTGAAGGCAATTCGCACTGACCGTGGGGGAGAGTTCCTGAGCAAGGACTTATCAACTTGGCTGAAGAAGCAGGGCATAAGGCACTCTCTTACCATGCCCTATGCTCCTACAATGAGCGGCATTGCCGAGCGTGCGAATCGGATAATCACGGAGACGGCTTGGGGACTTCTCATTGAAGCCAGTCTACCCAATTACTTTTGGTCGGATGCGGTGCGGCATGCTTGTGTAGCCAAGAACAGAACAATAAAGGGCATCGCCTTGGCTGCAAACTTTGGGAAGAGTGAAGGTCATGTGGCAACTCCTCTACCCTCGGGGTTCAAGTTTGTGAAAGGACCAGCGGAGGAAAGTGTTGGTGAAGAGGAGAGGCGTCGTTTTCACTCCTTGGTGGGCAGCCTCATGTATGCGGCCGGTCACACAAGGCCGGATGCAGCCTTTGCTACCAGGCAGCTGGCTAGGGTTGTTCAATGCCCTAATGAAGAACAGGTAGCAGCTGGAGAGAGGGTGGCCAAGTACCTTGGCCAAACAGCAATTGTTGGACTTCAATACTCCGCGGCGGCACAAAGGCGTCAAAAGGGTGTGGATGGAGTTGAACTCAGAAGACTCTTTCTCACCGCCTTCTCTGATGAATCTTGGGCATAAAAACCAGAGGATATGACAAGTGTGGGAGGATTCATCTGCAGTGATGGTGGAGGCCCAACAGCTTGGGAGAGCAAGAAACAAGTGGACCAAGCATTGAGCTCGGTGGAGTCCGAGCACATGGCACTCTTCCGTGCCATAAGAGAGGTTGTGTGACAGCGGCGTTTGCTGTAGCTGAATTGGGGGAGGAGTAGCAAGGACCTACCTCACTCTATTGTGATAGCCAAGGTGCTATTGCAGTGGGTAAGAACCCCGTTCTTCATGGCCTTACCAAGCACATGAAGGTGATGTGGCATTGGGTGAGGAGCATGGTAACCTCGGTTGAAGTGGAGTTGCACTAAGTGAAGACGACGGTAAGCCTGCTGATATGATGACCAAGAGGCTGGTTGAGCAGCAGCATTGGAAGTGTTGCAAGCTTGCTGGGAGGGCGCTGAACTAAGGGGAGCAGATTCTAAGGCCAACAATCCGAGGTGGAGTTTGTTGGTGCAACCCTATGGCTTGCACTCGGCTTGTCGTCCTTGTTTGTGTGTGTGCATGCATGGTGTGGAATGAATTGAGAGTCTATGTCACTGCTATCTAGTGCTTGTGTGTGTGTCTGAATGGTGTATCACAATGTGGTTTGTGTCGGTCAAGACATTAGCGAGTTTTCACAACTCGCATGTCAAGTTGTCGTTTGTGTGTCGCATGTGTTTTTCCTATTTTGTCGAGTGTGAAGTGTCCATCGTGTCGCAAGTGTGTGCAGCAAGCCTCCAACAAGTCAAGAAGAATTTATCTTGCTGAACCAAGACCAAGAGCTCAAGATTTCAAGCCCAAGGGACACGGATAAATATTAAATAGTGGAAATAGTAACGCTACTTCGTGTAGTGTTACATTTCACTTGGTGTAGCCCCTTGGAGGGTTTGTTTCGAGACTCCATGGTTGGGGACTCTGTGGTGGTGTACCACCAACCTGGACCTCGACTCTTGGGGTATGTAGAGGCTGGGAACCATCTCTATCTCGAACTCTTCTTGCTAAGGTTGTACTTCCAAGACTATAGTGGCTGCTATACCTCCTGCCAGTCAAACCGCCATAGCGTCGTCAAATCTTCATGGAAGTTTATGATTCAACTTGCTGCTGATAGGCAACAGCAACGCGCTCCAGATCCAATTTAAAGATCACCGTTTGAGGCAAAGATCAGATCGGCATCAATATTTGAAGCTGTCGGACGGAATTCTGATGGTGCACAATTTCTCTCATTTTAGGCACATCTGAGCTTATTGTGATTTTAACAGTCCCAGCACGGTCTCGTCCGAAGTCCCCCTGCATCACATCCTGCCCTCCCTCCCTTGCCTGCGCCGCCGTGCACGCCCTGCGTCGAGGGTCGGCTCCGCGGTGCTCCTCACTCCTCCTCGCTTTGTACTGCTACCGCACCCTTCCAGACCCTGCACTTGGATGTCTGGTGTGAGAGTACGACCCCGTTCCATTCCTTTCTCCTGTCCATTTCATTTCTCTTTCCATCTTGATTCATTTGGTTTTTATCTCATTCCATTTTGATTCCTATTTCTCCTTTTCCATAAACCTTTGGTTTATCTTGTTATTATCATTATATCGCCAACCAGGCTCGAGATGTACTGGTGCGCTATATCTAGCGTAATCCTGCTGTAATCCCTTAAAGCCAATAGCCTCGCGTGGCTATACGCAGTGTGATTCTATCTTCTAGAAGGGTCTATTCCCTTGGGATAAGATTAACCTGGTTACCTGATGTATTCTGGAACTATAAAAGCGCCTTGTACTAATCGATAGTGCAACCTTTCCTCGACTCATTCGATCCTATGACACTTGGTAATCAGAGCTTTCTCACTCGACTGCGCTCAGCTAAGCAGCAGCAGTGGGGGATCCTGCCTCGAATCGCCGGGGGCGACCAATTCGACGCCGATCCTTGTAAGCACCAGCTCCGCGTTTTTTCGAATTACCCCGCCCCCCCCGCGCGTGTTTTGACCAGGATGGCGAACTTCGACAAAAACGAGGTTACCCAGCAGCTCTTCGCGCGCATCGCAGCCCTTCAGGAGGAGATGTCAGCGGATCGCGAAGCGTGGCAAAACGAGTTCGAGCGAGTAACTTGACTCGCTGGAGCGCAACACGAAACGACAACGGCGACGACGCAGCAGTCGCAGCAGCTTCTTGAGGCTCCAAAACCGCGCCCACCTGAGCCGTCCGATCCGAGCGATCAAAATTCCGCCGTCTGCAGATGGATTGCCGGCATGGAGATCTACTTCGCAGCCGTCGGATGGAGCTCGCCAACCTGGGACGGTCAACGCGTACGACTCGCGGCGACACTGATGCGAGGTCCGACACTCGAGTGGATCGGCGGTAACAGCACCTTTATCCACGGCGAAGCCACGTGGCAACAGTTCCGCACCGACCTGCTGAAACGTTTCGAGCCGACAATTCCGGGTTTCCTTGCCCGGGGAAAAATTCATCGTCATCGACAGTTCGGGAGTGTAGCGCACTACACGCAACAGATGGAGGAATTTTATAACCGCATTCCCGACCTGACCGAAGGGGAAAAAATACAATCGTACCTCGCCGGGCTGAAGATCGAAGTCAAACGACAAGTGGCAGCGACAAATTACGCGAGCTACATTGACGTCGTATCCGCCGCGGAACGCTTCGACATGGTCAACGCCGGGACACGACGGATGCACGTCGGCAGTACGCGACATGGTGACCGCTCGGCTCACACCACGTTCGCCGACCCGATGGAAGTCGACAGGTTCGAAGGGCGGCCACGACGAAAAACACCAACTACACGTGTGATTTCTGCGGGGTGCCGGGTCATTGAATCTTCGGCTGCAACAAAATGAAAACCGCACGCGCTGAGTATCGGGCACGCAACAGTGGCGGAAATCCTTCGGCCAATCAGAAGCAAAGGACTCATCCGACCATCCACTTCGCCATACGGTGCCCCAGTACTCTTCACACCGAAACCGGACGGAAGCCTGCGCATGTGCATCGACTACCGAGCTCTCAACAAGCAGACCATCAAGAACAAATATCCGATACCACGAATCGATGTCCTGCTTGTCCAGCTTCGGGAAGCCACGGTATTTTCAAAACTAGATCTGCGGTCCGGATACTGGCAGATAAGAATGGCGGACGATTCCGTTCACAAAACTGCTTTCCGAACTCGGTACGGATCATACGAGTATTTGGTCATGCCGTTCGGAGTCACCAACGCACCTGCAACTTTCCAAGCAGAGATGAATCATATCCTATGCCCACTCTAGGACGAATGTGTGGTGGTGTAATTGGACGACATCCTCATCTACTCGCGCCACATGCAACAACACGTCGAGCACCTACGACGCGTCTTCGAAATTCTTCGACGAGAACGCTTCTACGTCAAACTATCCAAGAGCGACTTCGCCCTCGAGAAGGTCCAATTCCTCTGACATATCGTAAGCGCCCAAGGAGTTCACATCGACCCCAAGAAAATCGAAGCCGTGCGTACGTGGAAGACACCCGAGAACGTCAAGGAGTTACAGCAGTTCCTTGGCTTCGCTAACTACTACAACAGGTTCGTGCCACAATACGCGAAGATCACCACGCCACTCACGAATCTGCTAAAGAAGAACACGACCTATAGATGCGAGCCACAACACTAGGAAGCCATGGAGCAGCTGAAAGAAGCACTCACATCCGCACCTGTACTCATCTTGCCAGACCCCGAACGCGACTACGTCATCGAAGCTGACGCCAGCGACCAGGCAGTGGGAGCAGTCTTGATGCAAGACCAGGGGAATGGCCTGCAACCAATTGCCTACCTCAGCAAAAAATTACATGGAGCGGAACTCAACTACCCGATACACGACAAGGAGGCCCTTGCTATCATCATCGCCTTCAAAATGTGGAGTTGTTATCTCAAAGGGCGCAAGACGACAGTCTACACCGACCATTGCAGCCTAAAATATTTGAAGACGCAACCAAGCCTCTCCAGGCGGCAAGTCCGGTGGATTGACTTCCTCGAGACACACTTCCACTACAACATCGTGTACAAGCCCGGCCACAAAAACAAAACAGATGCGCTTAGCCGGCCCGCACACGTTGCCGCTATCCAAGTTGAAGGGATGAATCCACTCCTCAAGGGACTCTTCACACACGGGTACACCATCGACCCCGAAATTCCCTTGGCAGAAAAGCGACATCTGCTACAGTGGGACAACGACATCACGTACCCGAAAGGATCAATGAAGATCTGGGTACCTAATTACCCCCCATTGCGCCAATTACTACTCGAAGAATACCACGACGTCCTATACGCGGGGCGCTTCGGTAGCAACAAGACGCTCACCGGTATCGCCAAACACTACTACTGGCCCCACATGGCAGATGACGTACAGAAATTCGTCACCTCGTGCACTACATGTCTGCGGATGAAGAGCAGCAAGCAGAAAAAGGCGAGTCTGCTACAGCTTTTTCCTGTCCTTGAACAGCCATGGCAAGTGGTCAGCCTAGACTTCATCACCGGGCTACCAACTACCACGAGCGGGCATGACGCGATCCTCGTCTTCATTGACAAGTTCTCCAAAATGGGACACTTCATCTTAACATACACCACAGCACGCACTGAGGAGACGGCACAACTCTTTGTTCGCTACAACATGGCATTCCAACCACACTCATCTCGGACCGAGACCCTAAGTTTACCAGTATATTCTAGAAAGAACTGATGTCTCTACTCGGGACCAAACTCGCCATGTCATCCGCCTACCATCCGCAGACAGATGGACAGACCGAGCGCCTCAACCAAATTGTGGAGCAACTCCTCCGCGCAGCCTGCAAGGACGACATCTCCAAATGGGACTTGCATCTGCCCGTCCTGGAGTTTGCCTACAACAATGCTACTCATGCCACTACTGGACAGACGCCGTTCTTCCTCTCTTATGGACACCACCCACTCACATCTCAACAGCCAACCATCCCAGCCACAGTCCAACCCGCTCATGATTTCATCACGACCATGCATAAACTGTGGGATCGGACCCACAAGCGCCTTCTCGAAATTCAGCAACAACAGAAGCGCCAAGCCGATCGCCACCGCACAGACCACACCATCACCGTGGGAGACCGAGTACAACTTGAAACACGCAATCTTGACATCAGCCATCTCCCATCCAAACTGCGACCTCGCTTCTGCGGGCCTTTTCTCGTTGAAGCACATGTCACTCGTGTTACCTTCCGCTTACGCCTGCCAGCTACCTGGAAGATTCACAACGCCTTCCATGTCCAACTCTTGAAGCCCTACCGAGATCCCAACACGGTCTTCTCTGGACGCCAACCGCCGCTGCCGCCGCCCGTCCTCGTCCACGCTGAACCCGAGTACGAGGTCGAGTCCGTGCTCGCTCACCGCCGTCGACGGAATGGCACCGTGGAGCTTCTCATCCTTTGGAAGGGTTATGATCCTTTAGAGGCTAGTTGGGTCTCTGAATCCGAGATGGATCACGCTCGTCGTCCTCTTCGCGACTACCTTGTCAAGGAGGGTGTTACGTCCACCACCCAGCTTTGAGGGGGGTAAGTGTGAGAGTACGACCCCGTTCCATTCCTTTCTCCTTTCCATTTCATTCCTCTATCCATCTTGATTCATTTGGTTTTTATCTCATTCCATTTGGATTCCTATTTCTCATTTTCCATAAATTCTCGTCAGTTGCCCATTTGGTTAACTGAAAGTCTATCAAAATTTGACGGCCTTGATCGATTGCGATCGTTTCGACATGGTCTTAAATGATTGACGTCCAAGATCTCCCAACCGAGGCGCTGCAAGGGCACGAAGTTTCTCCCACCGCTCTATTTGCCCAGCTTGCCCCCTCTCCCTAGTTTTGATCCCCCCTTCCCCCTCCATTTTCGATCCCCCCCTCCCCCTCCGTTTCGCTTCTCCCCTTCCATCCATTTCGATCTCCCCCTTTCCCCTCCATTTCGCTTGCCTCCTCCCCACAGGGTAGGTTTGTCTATGTGCCTAGCTCACCCTCATATCTGTTTTAGATCTGTTTAGGACGTAGCCAAAAGTTTGGGCTGTTCGTGGTCGGGTTGTTAGGGTGACTCCGTCTGATAACCCCACGTAGCCAAAATTTTTGACATGTTGTGGGGTGTGTGGGGGATGTTTTTAGTGTTTCGGGACCTGGCCGAAATTTTCAATGGATTGTGGGCTGTCTGGGGAATGTCTCTAGCGTCCGGGGACTTCGCTGAAATTTTCTGGGTCGCAGGTTGGTAGTAGGTGCTTGTGGTTCAGGGTCTGTACGCGCTGTGCTCTGGAAACTCAGTACTGGGTTAGCAACAAGTCTGAATTTTCCAGGATCCCTAAATTCGTACTCTGAAGTGATCAAGATTGGGAAAATGGGTAATCTGATCATTCAGGTCTGGCCAACATTAGGGTATGAAATTTCAGACTAATCAGACAAAATAGTCTGATAACGTCAGCCGTACCTATTATCTGAAATTCAGTACCAATCAGATTTGGGTTCCTTCCAACCGCCTACTGTGGGAATTACCGATACATGAGGTGTTAAATTATGTTGGTTATATATAATTGTAGGCTTGGTAGGTGTTGTTGGTGCAACCCTATGGCTTGCACTCGGCTTGTCGTCCTTGTTTGTGTGTGTGCATGCATGGCATGGAATGACTTGTGAGTCTATGTCATTGCTATCTAGTGCTTGTGTGTGTGTTTGAATGGTGTATCACAATGTGGCTTGTGTCGGTCAAGACATTAGCGAGTTTTCACAACTCGCATGTCAAGTCGTCGTTTGCGCGTCGCATGTGCTTTCTCTATTTTGTCGAGTGTGAAGTGACCATCTCATCACAGGTGTGTGCAGCAAGCCCTTATTATCTCAAGAAGAAATGATCTTGCTGAACCAAGACCAAGAGCTCAAGATTTCAAGCCCAAGGGACGTGGACAAATACTAAAATAGTGAAAATAGTAATGCTACTTCAAGTAGTGTTACATTTCACTTGGTGTAGCCCCTTGTTGGGTTTGTTTCGAGTCTCCTCATGGTTGGGGACTCTGTGGTGGTGTACCACCAACTTAGACCTCGGCTCTTGGGGTATGTAGAGGCTGGGAACCATCTCTACCTCGAATTTCTTCTTCCTAAGTTTTTTGTACTCCTAAGACTATAGTGGCTGCTGTACCTCTTACCAGTCAAACCGCCATAGCGTCGTCAAATATTCAACTTGCTGCTGATAGGGGACAGCACTCCGCTCCAGATCCAATTTACAGATCACCGTTTGAGGCACAGATCAGATCGGCATCAATATTTGAAGCTGTCTGACGGAATTTCGACTGTGCACAATTTCTCTCATTTTAGGCACATCTGAGCCTATTGTGTTTATAACAAGTGGTATCAGAGCCTGGAAGGTCCAGGGTTCAAATCCCAGTGTGCGCAGAAGAGGCGCCGGGTGCCCTGACCACCCCAGTGAGGGGGAGATTGTTGGAGGGGCACCAGGATCGTCCTAGTTGAGTGTGGGAGGGCTACAGGTCCGTCCTGGGGGGTAATGGGTGCGCTACCCACCACAAAAAACATGCCCTTTTAACCAAATCGGCAGCGGGATGGGCCAACAGTGGTATCAGAGCCCCTTGGAGCCATTTCGGCCATGCCTAGACCAGTGGAACGGGGTGGCAGAGGTGCAAGAGGCAGAGAAGACGCCCAAGCACAAGGTCAACACCAAGATCAACCCATTGCTCCCGTGCAACCTAGCCTTGGCCACTCTAGGGATGACCCTAGAGTGTTTGGCCTTGACAAGTTCAACGGTGACAACTTTGCTGAGTGGTCCTTCAAGATGGAGAACATCTTTGACCACTATGATGTGCTGGAGGTGATGGAAGGAACGGAGAAGCGCGCCGAGAACGACCTGGAGAAGATCCCGTGGGTGCGGAAGAGCGCACAAGGCTATCTTATACTTGGGCAAGCATTGGGGAGCAGCCAAATCCGCCACATCAAGCCTTTTCAGCGTGAACCAGAAAAGGGACCAAAGGCATGGGCTGCTCTCAAGGGTGTACACGCTCCTGCAACAACGGCGATGGCTGTGGTTTTGGAGCGGCAAATGGGGGCACTTCGAATTGACGAAGGCGAACCGGTGGAGGAAGGAGTGCAGAAATTCTTCAACTTGTTGACACGGCTCGAAGGAGCTGAGCTGAACTACAGTGACCTTCAAAAGAAGACCAAGCTGCTGGCCTTACTTCCAGACTCATGGTCCTCGCTCATCATCAACCTAAATCGAGATCTGCCCCGCCTCTCGCTCGAAGATGTGAAGCGGGAAATATTGCAAGAAGATTTCCGACATCGTAAATTGGCAGGTTCCGATGGTGCCGGAGTTGCAAGCATGGGCCGTGGGCACGACCATGGAAGAGGCAAAGGGCGAGGAGGCAGATTTGGAAGCAGCTACTTCAATGGAGGCCGTGGTAATGGAGGATATGGCAGCAACAGCAACAACAATGGCTACGGGCTTGGGCGCGGTCGATTTGATGGCGAATGCCACTTTTGCCACAAGACCGGCCACATATGGAGAGATTGCTTCAAACTGCCCAATGGCTGGACCGCTTCTCAAGGCCAAGAGGGCAGAGGAGCAAGGGGAGGAAGAGGCAGAGGTCATGGAAGCCGTGGTGGTCGTGGAAGCGAAGCGGCAAGCATGAAAGGTGGAGACTACGAGACGGGCCCGAGTGAAGATCGATACCCGGGCCAATTCTTCTTTGTCTCCGCGCAAGTGGCAGCAGCAGCAGGAGGTGTGGAAGGCTTTGAGGCGCCAGCTATAGTGGGAAAGGTCACCCTTCACTCTCTGGACTTTTGGGTGATCGATAGCGGCGCCACATATTGCATGACACCTCGTGCGGACTTGCTCACCGAACTCGAACCGTCGCCAGTCAAGAATGTTACATCGGCTTTCGGGCAGCGAGCAGAGGTGAAAGGCATGGGCAAGGCCATGTTCAAGGGTGCTGATGTGAAGATGGTGGGCCTCAAGAACGTGCTTTGGGTGCCCAACCTTGCAGCCAACCTGATTTCCGTGCGGCGTTTGCAAATGGCCGGCATGGATACGTATTCCAAGGGATCCAAAACTTATACCGCGAGGCTTGGTGAGCGGAAGCTTTGGGACCTTCATGAGGACAGGGACATCTACAATGAGATGTGGCAAATCTCAGTGGTCCCTATGCCTAAAGAGAGGCAAGTGGCAGCAAGCGTCAGCACCAAGAGTGAAGCGGTTGGTGGCGTTGATCACGGAAAGCAAAGTGACACCAAGAGCGACTCTAAGGAGTGCAATCTTGGAGGGACCAGCAAGGCGTGTGAAACCAAGGAGAGTGGTGCAGCAGCCAAAGGTGGTGGAAATGAAGAGGAGAAGCCTAAGATCAGCAAAGAAGCAGCGGCAAAGGAGAAAGGAGAGAGCTTGTGGGGCACAATTGCGAGTGCGGCTTTCTCCAACCCGACTTCCACCACGGGAGAGTGTGATTAGCTGACCTTGCATCGGCGAATGGGGCATGTGGCATTGCCCATTTTGCAGCAGATTGTTAAGCAAGAGATGGTCAGTGGGATACGTGTTAAGGGGGAGCCCAATGAGGTGCTTGGCGGTCCAACATGCATGCAAGCCAAGTTCACCCGCTACCCATTCCATAGCTCGGAGACAACGGCGAAGGCACCACTTGATGAGGTGGTGATGGATGTGGTGGGCCCCTTGAAGCTTGGAGCTGCTGGAGCAGATTACTTCCTCACCATTGTCGATGTCTACACTCGCATGACCTGGGTGTATGTGCTGCCCAAGAAGAGTGATGTAGCTGAGATGGTGAAGACCGATTGGTTGCCGATGGTGGAACGGCAACAAGACCGGCTTTTGAAGGCGATTCGCACAGACCGTAGGGGAGAGTTCCTGAGCAAGGACTTCTCAACTTGGCTGAAGAAGCAGGGCATAAGGCACTCCCTTACCATGCCCTACTCTCCTGCAATGAACGGCATCGCCGAGCGTGCGAATCGGACACTCACGGAAACAACTCAGGGACTTCTCATTGAAGCCGGTCTTCCCAATTACTTTTGGCTGGATGCGGTGCGGCATGCTTGTGTGGCCAAGAACAGAGCCTTGACTCACGTGGGAGAAGACAAATGGGTGGCCTATGTGGAGTGGATTGGAAGGAAGCCGAAGGTGGATATGCTTCGGGTGTTCGGGTGCATGTGCATGGCACTTGTGCCTAAGAAACTTCGGCACAACAAGCGTGATGCCAAGGCAACATGGGCCGTACACCTGGGCATGGCTCAAACTAGCAAGGGATGGCTTCTTTGGGACCCATTTACAAAGAAGTTCTTGGTGAGCAGAGATTGCAAGTTCATGGAGAACTTATTGTACAAGGAGTTGAAGGCAGAGAACCAAGCGAAGATTGGTGTGCGGCTTGGAGAGGTGAAGAGTACCGGCTTGGAGCATGTGGAGCTGCCCTTGGAGCTGAGTAGCAGCAGCACAATCAAAAAGCAATCTCCTCAAATGAATGGGGGAGAAGAGGAGGAGGAGGTGCAGTAAGATGATGAGCGTGCACCGTCACTTCCGCCTCGTGCTACAAGTCCTTGC